TCTTTATGAGGTATAATAAAAAATACGGTAAATGTTGCTACCGTGTGCCATCCAAGAAGAAGGCAGGCTTGGAAAAATACTGTGGTATGAGCTCATCCACTTGATCTGGCACTGTGCAAATTCTGCTTCTTCTCCAAAGTCAAAATAAATGTGAAAAATAAAGTTATTTTTTTGATTCAGGCCATTGAGGCAACCATGACCTCCTAAGTAAAGACACTTGAAAAGTAGGATTTCCAGAACTGTTCCAGAGTAAGGTAAGAAGGATGGGACAAGTGTGTTTGAAACTATGGCCTGGAGAGGGCAAGGCAGACAGTTTCAGATGTCTTTCTCCTGGAGTGAGGGCACTGTTCCCTGTCAGTGCACACAAAAATCCACGTGTTCAGGTCTCTGAATTTGGGTGGAGCCAACTCCCCGCATCCTAAGATGTATAGCTTAAACTTTTTTTTACCTCTTCCCTTTTACTTTATTCTGGTAAAGCTGGTGTGAGAGATACCCACCTCAGGTGGAAGACAATTTAAGAAATTTTAGACCAGGCCTTTCTTATCCTGTTTTGGAAACTATTTGCTTTACTTCTCTGTCAACTTGTACTCAACTTCCCTCTGTAATATAGCAGTGACTCACAGAATTCAGAGAGGGAGATTTCTGAGAAAAAATTAGACCAGCCAGGCATGCACACTTGTAATTCCAGCTCTCCAGAGGCTGAGGCAAGAAGATCATTGTGAGTTCGAGGCCAGTCTGGGATGCAAAGTAAGTTGAAGGCCAGGTTGGACTGCATAGTAAAACCTTGGCTCAAGGAAAAAAATGAGACCAAAAATCCTGCTTTGGTGTCTTTTAGGGATAAAGAAAAAAAGTGAAGCACATACGTGTCAAGTTTTGTTTTTTTCTGTTATATGTAATTTTGGAAGCGTTACTAAAAAAGAATGAAAATTATGTTTTACATCCACCATACCTTTATAAACATGTGCCATATGATTTTCACAGTGCTGATTAAGTATAATTTTGTCAGCATTGGTACTACAAGGAGAGTCATGTACTGCTTATACTTTCCATTGAGCCAAAGGAAAATGCCTCAGTAGATACTCCTGAGGTCCATTGACCTTGATGTCTCCTGGAAGAGTTGGATGCAGGGTGGATGAAGATGTAGGAACAGAATTCTAGCATTTGTTGTACAAACTCAGGATGCATCTCACCATCGTGCAGCTTCTCAAGCTTGGAAAGCTTCCTCTTGTCAGCGGGTGACTCAAAGATAACACATTCTTGCTAGGAAAGAGCTTCTTTATGTGAAGATGGGGAAAAATGAAATGTTGAGTCTTCTCATTGCTACCTGGTATAGCAAAAATAGGATTTTTGAGTATAGAATATACCTGAACGGTTCTTGAGACTTGGTGTCAGATTGAGCATCCTAGAATGAGAGAGCATCACGTTATTTTTAAATCCTATGTTGTAAAATGATAAACCCACTCAGAGTGAAGCTGGTTATTCTTCTGAGACACAGTTAGTGCTGGAAACTGCACATCTTGCACTATGGAGGTCACTCTGCTCGTGGTACTTACACTTCACATATATTCTGGAGGACATTGTCTGCTGTACACAGGTATTTCAGGCCTAGTGCTGACTGCTTCTCATTTAATGCACTGTGGAGGAGAACATTCAATAGTTTACCTTTCTATGTATGACCTATAGGGGATTTTGAGCCTTAACAGGCCATGTGATTGTTTGTTCTGAAGGAAGTCTAGCAAAAGCATTAGTGTATAAAGAAATGAAAGCAGGACCTTAATATCTATGGAATGCTGCTGGGACAGCACAAAATGCTTTGCTATGTCCAAAGTAATGATAACATGATAGCTAGTTCAGCAAAAGTTCAGTTCCTGGGATAATTAAACTATATTGCTGACACTGATCCTGTTAATGATTCCTGCCATTTCCCATGTTCTTGTTTTATCTGAGAGAATCCTAATCAAATGAAAAAGAAAATTGCAATGGAGGTTTCAGTCATAGAGGCTGTAGCCCACTGACCCTATACCTTTGCCTCTCTCTTATTTTTCTTTTCATCCAGTTCACCTCATTTTCTAGACCTGTCACTCCACACAGAAACCAACAGTGCACATACTAAATCTCATTTCAAAATTTTCACACGCTTTTATAGCAATTTATGCACAGAAAGGCATCCTCAATTGCCTTAAATCTTAATGCTAATATGAATATGAGCAACTTTGATCCCAAATCTTTTTGAACTACCTTGCTATGCTGTGTTTGGGTTTGCTGAGTGAATAATTGTAAAATAATTGGTTTATTTGTATATTATTTTGTAATTATTTCTTATATATGTGTAAATGCAGTCATGACTGCAGTATAAATTCTATTAATCTATACTTTCCAATGGAAATAAGAAGTATTGGGAAGAGGTGTATGGCTTAATTATGACATAATTTGCGTGGTCCAGAAGTTCACTTACTGTAGCTTTAAACTTAGTGATATTGAAATGTGCTGGATGCTTTAAGAGGTGAGGCTAGAGGGAATGGATGAGAATCTTAAGAGGGATTAATACTTGTTACTACACAGGGTCCCAGGAGGTTCTTGAGCTGAAATAAGGAACCTAAGCCATCCAAACTATGGAATAGGTATGCAGGTTTGTTGAATCTCATCATGGTAAAAAGATTTTCAAGACATGTCAGTAAGAGACAGGAGAAAGCTTTATTAGGTAGAAATGAGGCAGGAATGTAAGTGCACAATTAAGAGAGGAGTGTGAGTGTTCAGAGAAATGAGATGCATTATAGTTTGGAGATGGGGATAATTATATGTTGTTTTGGTGCCAAAAATCTGTGGAATTTTTGACTCTCTAATCATTGTCTTGGCTTAAGAATGACCCACACACAGGAAGATAATGGTCCATTTGAAAAGTTCCACAAAACTGATACACTATTAATTATGCTGGCAAAAGACAAACAACAAGAATAAAACCAAAATCACAAGAAGAGGAAAAAAAAACCTAGATGACCCACAGCACTAAAATGGAGAATGAACCAATGGACACTACTATCAGTGTTACAGAAATAAAAAGTGTACAAAGTCATACTACAAACAACTATATCATATTCTATTTGTCCATGAAATAGGCAAATTCCAAGCCATCAATTAAAGATGCACCCTCTAGACGGTTCATTATCTTTTTTCCCTATATTTCTGTTTGTTTTCTCCCTATATACTGCTTCAGATCTTAATGACTAAGGACACATTTAGTTAAAATGCACTGACCTTTTCAATGTGTAAGCCCCATTCCCAGGTTATAGCAAAAATCACAGTTGAAAGGCACTTGTCAAGAAAATGTAAAACGGAGACTGTTTGTATGTGGTAAACAAATGCAATGAACTTCCAGCCTCTGAGTGATTGTATCTGACTGTATCAGATCGAAGGCCCAGGTTCCTAGAGGACCTCTAGATCAGGACCACATGCTTATAATTCCTGCTCAAAATGACCATTTGTCAAGTGTAATGTGTGGAGGACCACCTGGATGACTGTCCTTGAAAGAAGAGCAGTTATCTCCATTTTGGCTAAACCTAGCCTTATTTCCATTGATTGATCTGTACAAAGCTGACTAGGACTTTTCCTTATCCCTTCAATCGGCTTTAAGCAACGCAAATGGGTCTAGCTGAGGTGCTGATGTGCAGTCTTTGAAGGAAGGCAACAGGTCAGTGTTACCCGACCCTACAGCTCCCAGAAAACGTGTGAGCCAGGATGGGATGGAGATATGTGTTCCATGCTGCTGCTGGGTAAAGCCTCAAGAGATAGAGGCTATAACTTCCAGGAAACAAAATATTGCTCATCAGAGCTGAAGCATCAACCTCAAAATATTAGATACTACCTCAAATTGTATTATGGAAATTACTCCTTCTGTATATCCTTCTCTCCCTGCATAGTGTAGAGGTGATTCCCCACCACATGCCTAGCCCAGTGCAGGAAACTCATGTATTTCTCATAATTCTCACAGTCACTCATCGTCAAGCCACTCCCTTCTACAAGGATTAGTAAAACTCAGGTGTGGCCCTGGGTTGAGGCCTTTGTTCTGGTTGGCCATCATCCTACCTGGTCGTAAGATCCCTTGGCTTCCCACAACTACCAGTATGCTATAGCATCTTTATTCTCATGATGGGTTGCACTGGAAGTGGTAGATTGGTATTAACTCTCTAGAATTCCAATAACTTTTCCATAGGATCACAAATATAAACCTCACAGACTGTGATGAGGACCATAAAGTACTCTCTATACTAATGCACCTACTACACTGACTTCCATCCGCCTGAGACAAAGAACAAGAACTGAATCAGCATCTGTTGATTGTATGAATCAAAACTGTGGTAGTAAACATGTTGATTAACCATTTTATACTTTATAAAGATTTTTGAGGCTTTATAAAGGCAATGAACTGTCAAGGGGGTGCATTTTCAGGATGAAATTTATTTCAGGAAGTATTTGCTGTTTTTCCCATGCTTCCCAGTGTTTACTGGGTTTTCTGTGTCATCCCCACAAGAGGAAAGGTGACTTCAAACTCAGCTCACATGACATGGAAAAGGACACTCTCTCACAGCCAAGTTTAATTCTTATAACAGAGAACATGTATTCATGTAACGTTTATCTGAAATTTCCTGCTAACATATGTTTCCTCCCTTATTTTCCTATGTTTGAAGTCTGCATAGTGCTCTAAGAAATGAAAAGTGCCAAGTCTTCCTTTTTACTTATGAATGGGTGAGTTCACCTCAGGACAGCTTGAAAACATCTTCATGTTGGACACAGGCCAGATGCAAAGTGAAAGTACAGCAAGCTCTTAGCTTCTGGGAAATAGGCTGGATTGTAGTAAGACAGAACCTTTCCTAATACCACAGGGTAGGAGGAGAATTGTGTGTTCCGTTTGTGTGTTAGGCAAATAAGAAATGTTCTGTGAACTTTTCCCATTAAATACAGGTTATAAATAAGCTACATTTCCTCCCTTTCCCATTCACTTATCCACAGTTCATAGAATCCAGATATTGTCCTAATACCCACTTGCAGATCAATTTAATTCATGTATATGTATGTATACACATTTTGATGGTTTCAAAGATTATCCCAACAATTATCATCCTAAGAACACATAGATTTAATCTCAGGTGTAGGACCCTTTCACAAGATGCATTCACATGAAGCACTCTGCAGATGCTCCAGAGAGTGCAGCAGCAGAAACTGCCTCATGCAGCTGTGGTCACACAGTCCCATCTAGGATGGAGGCGAGACCTGCAGGTGAGAAAGACAACGCACAATGTGCCCGCGTGAGAGTACAGGGCAGAGGCACGGAGTGCACAACACCATGCTGGTGCTGAGGGTGAGAATTCACAGATGCAGCCCACCCCAGCAGGACTTGCTCTCAGGGGTGAGGTTGACCTGCACCCTTAAAATCATAGCAAGAGCCTGGAGCAGGGAAGAAAGGAGGGAGCAGGTGCTTAAATGGAGCTAGTGTTGGAAATGAGAATGTCTGAAGTTTTAACTGTTGAGAATTTAGTATGTCTGTTAAGTTGAATGCTTTTAATGTTTTAACAATGGTCCAGTGATGGTTTTTATTCTTATTTACTTATTCATGCATTTATGTTGTTTCCTTTTCATTCTAGTAAACTCAGAGCAGTATTATAAACATGTCTCACATGTAACAATTTTTCAGATTGTACGGAGTTCTTTTCCAGTACAATTAAAATTATTATTTTAATGCAATATAAGTAGATATTAATAAAGCAGATATAAAAAGCACTCTTTTTATTCCTATGAAAAAATAAAACAAAATTTCATAAAAAATTAGGGAATAAGAGTAGTTGAAACACAGTGTATGGGTGTCTTAAAAGAATGGCCAAGTGTTACTCGCAGTAAAGATCATAGACAAAAAAGTAAAGATATAAAAGGACAAAACTTTCTTTTCAATGAACAAAGAAAAACTAGCTGTATAAATGAAACAAATTATGATATATCTTAAAATATTTTTGAAATAACTGAAAAGATAATTTGTGAAAGTATTGGAACTCCTTCCTACTTTCTATTTATCTTCCAGTTTGCTCTTATATATGTGACTTTCTCATGTAAGAGACACCATGCAATATTTAAGCTTGGTTTTTTTTTTAAAATAAGGCTATACAGTGTTTTGAATCTTGTGATCAACGCATTACTCTTAGTGAAAACTAGGTTCACTTTGTGAACTTTTTCCAGAACTCAGATTGTATTGAATAAAAACTCAGTAAGAAATGTTATATTTAGTTCATTTCTTTCATTTCAGGCATGACTGTGCTCTGTTTAGAAAACTCTTTTTCATTTGATTTTGAGATAGAGTCTTGCTGTGGAGTCCTGCTTGGCTTAAAATATGAGATCCATGTACCTCAGCTTCTAAGTTCTAGAATTACAGATGTATGCCACCCCACCTGGCTTTCAAAAACCCTTTTATATCTAATCTCATTATTATGGAAAGTTTTCTATATTTCCATTCAAATGCCATTTTCACAGTCAGTCTGTATATATTTGTAAACTTCGCCTTGGCCCACCCCATTCAGGCTAGCCTGAGTCACTGTATCACGTGATCACATGGTAGACTTCCTTGGTCATTCTCATGTGTCCACAGACCTTGACAAGTATCCCCTCATCAAGCCAGATACTTTTGCATTAATAGCTGAATATGTTCTGTCACTGCTCCTTTACCACTGGCTTATCTATAAGCTATGGGCAAAGTTATGCTGTTGGAAGTTAGACTATTTGTACGGACAACTGATGAATGGGTCAAGCACTGAGCAAGTAATGAAAAACTTAGAAATAAGTGAGGTGAGGAAAAACTCTTAGATGAGAATTCTGCTCCTGCCCCCGCAAAAAGGATTTTTCATGCTGTGTGACTCAAACAACTCTAGAAGTAGACATTCACTTTTGGAACTGGTAGCCTGTGAAAACCTTCCAAGACAAAGAGGACAAAAGCTAGCTGTAGGCTGTATTTACTGGCGTAGCACCACGTAGTCACTGTGTGCTTCCTGACCTCTTCTCACCTCTGCCCCCAACATCCACACTCAAACTCTGATCAAATATTTCAGACATGCCTCTGTTGCAATCAGTAAGATTGGAAAGTACTTTACCTTCAATGCTAGAATTAATGCAACCTTATATGTAGGTATAATTAGCTTTCAGAGTTTTTTCTTCTTCATCTTCCTCTACTTTCTCTTTCTGTTTTTAGCTGATATAAGGAGAGACAGACAGGTGGAAAGAGAAGGAGCAAGAGGTCAGAGGCAACTGAGAATATTGCTTGGACCTGTGGTACGCTGGAACAGGTATATTCATTTTCTTTTTCAGTCATGCAAATTATTCTTGAGCTTGACTTGATTTCCCATTCAAATTAGCAGCTCAGGAAATGGCAGAAATTGCAGATTGTGTGTGTCTGTCATCCAGGGTCTGTGTCTGGCCTCAGTTCTGGGGAATCTCAGACTTTGCCAGTGAGAGCAGTACAGTGGCAGCCAGACACACTGGATCTGGGGTGCACGGTTCCCTGACTGTCAACGCACACCAACAGCAACAAGCTCACCAGGAAGAGCTGTCAACAGATCTCTGTCAGGTTCTATTAGCACTTACCATAGCTGTGGACCATAGAGCACAAAGCCTTCCTGCCCAAGCAGTTATTTATAGTTGAAATGAAGAGTTTTTTTTTTATCTTCCTTGCAGTTACACTTAAGAAAGCTTCAGGGTAAACGCTTTGTAAGGTTTTGTACAGGAGTAAATTAAGTTCCTACATCCTTTACTAGTTAAGTATCGCTATATAGTTGTAACTGTATGGGGATATTTATTTCTTTTTAAAGGGATATCCAACTCACTTGTGGTACATGTTAGCATATGGATACTTAGGCCTGGGAGTCTAGCTTTCAACAATCCTTTAAAAGGATTCCCATGTATGTCAGAGTTTCAGTGCCTTTCTTGAAAGTGCAAACAGCTGTGCTTCGTTTATATGAAGCTAAATGCTACGTGGTTTACTCAACCCAAAGAAAACAGAGTTATGTATAGCATTTTCATAGTGATGACCGTATCATTTTAGAGTAACTTTTATCCTCACTTCAGACAGGGGATGGTTCACTTCCAGGAAATACAAGGCAGATGCTGAGGCTCATGGTTTACCTTAATATTTCTTACCCCCACAAGAACAATGAAGAATTAGACAAGTTGCATAGGCACATTTGTTTAAACTTGACTACTTCAATCATTTCTGTTCCAGTGAAAGAATTTTTTGTAATTTCTGTTTCTTAAGAATTTATACAGTAAAGATTTTGATGAAACATAGAATCTACTAGATTATTTGTTTATAATAATCATTTTAACAATTTCCATGTAAATCAACAAAGGCTTACTGAAATCATATTTTGTGAAATATGCTATGTTACAATGTAAGATTCTGCCATTTCTTTTAATTAATGAACATCCTCCAGATTGATGTACAGTTTTATTTTATTGAAGCTCATTAATTAACCTAAAATTTTCAGTTATGTAGACAAATCTTCATGCTTAAATCCACACAAGTTTATCATAGAGCTGGTATTATTGATGGAACCAGATATATCTTGATATTTGACATATTATTATACAATAAATATTTGTGGCATTGTGATCAACATTATGTTTATACACTCTGGTTTCAAAAAGTAACAGATTTCATGGACAACTATTTTAATACAATAACATTCAAAATATGACAGGAGATTCATAGAATAATTGTGTACTTAGCAGGTGTGTTTAGAATCAAAACTATGGGAACCATACTACTGTGGTAACTGTCTGTTGCCCTGTCCTTCCAACTTGTTATTTTTTTTCTTGGTACTGAGGATTAAATACAATCCCTTAACACTGAGCTATGTCCACAGACATTTTAAATTTTTTTTGATAGAAAGAAAGACAGTTTTACTATGTCAGTGAGTTTCCCAACCTGGGCTCAAACTTGTTATCCTCAGTGGTGTTCTCACTCTGATCTGAAACCTCATGACCCTGGCCCTTACTGCTCACATTTGTGTCAACTTTTGGGTCAGAATCTCCCTTTAAGTCCTGGATATTTGTTCTAAAATTTCTATAGCTCACATCTCTAAACTTTCCAACTCCACCCACAAACCTACCTTAAACACTTCTCAGCCACATGGTCATGTATCATTTGTACCAATATCTCCCGTCCTGTGATGCTAGTTTACTATTTTAGTTGGTTTTCCCATTGGTGAGACAAAATGTTGAGCCCCTTCAATTTAAAGGAAAAGCAGTTGATTTTTGGCTTAAAGTTTCACAGAGTTCATTGCATGGTTGACTGGCTCCTAAGGACAAACATCACGGCCCTTAAGTATCTCATGGTGGCTGGAAGCAGAGAACAGGGAGGAGACAATAGGACATAAATCATCCAAAAGCATGCCTATGGTGAGCCACCTTCTCCAAGTAGACCTCACCTTCTAAGAGGACTCAGCCATGAACTTAACAATGGATTAATCCACTGATGATGATAACAACCCCCATGATCCAACCAACTTCCAAAGCCCTAGCTCTGAGTACATGAAAGTTTTGAGAGCAAATTTGAATCTCAAGCATAACATTGAACAAAGAACTTAAAAAATAACCAAGGTCTTTCAGAGTATCATTATGCCAGGGAAGTGACTGCAGCAGTATTGTACAGAAAAAATGTTATATTATCCAGGTTTTGCTACTTTAGTGTTTGTGTGTGTGTGTATATATATATATATATAATACATATTTACAATACATATGATGCATATATTGGCACATATATGATATATGTCATATAATATTGTATATATGATTCTACGTATGATTTTAAAAATAAGTAAGTGTATATTTCAGTGACAGTTATGTATTCACATCCTTGTGTAATCACCAGCACTAAATAACTCCAGATTTTATTGTTCTAGCTTGGAAGTTGCTATGGCACCTGGACCTGAAATGTTGGCCCCCAAGTGCCTGATAGAAAATGTTAATGAGCAGCTGTCAGTGAACCAGGAAGCTCTACAGATTCTTGGTGAGATTTCTAACCCAGTGGTGGTGGTGGCCATTGTTGGACTGTACCGTACCGGAAAATCCTACTTGATGAACCGTCTGGCAGGACAGAACACTGGTGAGCATGGTCCTGGAGTGGGGCTGATTGCTTGATGTCTGCTATCTCAGTTTCTTAATTATTCTTCTCAGGTACACGAAGGTGGAACCCAGCTCTTCTCAATGAAGCAACTGTCTTATTTTAATTCTTTCCACCAGATTAACGCGTTGCTCTCATTTGTTCCCATACTGTATTCTTATTGCCAATAAAGATAATATATTCTTGTGAAGCTCATTATTCCCCCTTTTCTTACATCCTCAATCACTAGGCTTCTGTGTCTTTTCCCTTATACAACACACTTTTACTTTTCTACATAATACTCCTGTCTATATATTAAAAACCCTGGAAGATTTATCATCTTTAAGATGTTTACTAAGCTTCCCATTCCATGTGACTACCAACTCTTGCTTTGTCCTTCCTTTTTTTGTACTTAGCATCTTTTCAATACAAAATATATTCCAGTTTCCTATTTCTGCTTCTTTTTTTCTTCTCATGTTTGTTTCTTTCTGACTCTGAGTTCCACCTTTCTTTACCAATACTATTGTTGTAGTCACCAGAGTTCTCCATTTTGTCAGATTTCTGGATGCTTCTTTGTCACCATCTTGAGCCCTTGAGTATCATCATTTTTATATTTAATGGGCTCACTTTAAAATATAACTTACACAGTAAGACATGCTCGTGGAAATAGAGAAGGCACTTTCATTTTTGCTGGAGTATTCGCAGTTTAACAAAGCTTGAACTGTATTCCCTTCATTACATGGTGGAGCTGTGCTCACTGTTTGTTGTTTCTGCTCTTCCCTCCAGGCTTCTCTCTCGGCTCCACAGTGCAATCCGAAACCAAGGGAATCTGGATGTGGTGCGTGCCCCACCCCACCAAGCCTGACTGTACCCTGGTCCTTCTGGACACTGAGGGCCTGGGTGATGTGGAAAAGGTGAGGCACAGAATCTCAGGCAGATCCTTTTCATTCTGGACTGCGTTCTTTTCTCTTCAAGACTCTTTGTGACTTGACTGCTGTGATCTGTTTATGAAACATAAGAAACAAAACCATAGCAAATGAGGCAAATTTTGTTCTACTTTAATCTCATTTCTAGATAAGATGAGATATGATTTTTTAAGTAAAATATTCATTTTTTGACAATAGTGGGAATAAGTTCATTCAGGATAAGGAAAGTCTTGAAAAACTAAGTTCTAGCTTCTGGGTTTAATAGTCCAGATATTAGTGGACAGAATTAAAATGTGGTCTCCACAGAGCCTTCAGTCCCATTGCGGAGACCACATGGCAACAGGAAAAGAGAAGGTTGAAGAGAGAAAGATGCTGCACTGTGCAGTCCTTGGCCTCTGTCAGTTTGCAGTGGGTCATGTGATTGGAACAGCTTTTTTGAGATATCCTCTGTCGGGAGAAGGGTGTTTGGTCTTTATCCCTGGTGATGGTCAATGACTGGAATTTGGCCCTAGAAAATCATCTCCTAAGAGGGCTGACACATATGGGATGTTCCCTATCTACACCGCCTAGAACTGGGCAATGTGTATTTCAGTTGTAGAAGGTGACATGTGCTCAGATCACTCTTTCACCATATACAGTTAGGCATATGATACCTGGAGTGGAAGGTGGCAAGGTACCAGCCCCAACTCAGTGGATGAGGAAGGGTCTTCAATACACTTCCAGTCAACAAATGAAGTACAGATTTGGTGGTTTCTTATGGTGAATCTCCATCACTACCCATAGAACATTCTGGAAGTCTCCAAGAAGCCTCTAAATGTGCTGGTTCTATACAACATTTTTTCTTATGGAAAACTTTCTAAGGTAGAGTTTTGGTATTTTAGCTTCCTATCAATAGGTGAATGTAATGATTTATCTTTTTTCCTGCCTTTATGACATTTCACAATAGTGTATAAATTAAAATGTTATCAGTTTCTGTCCAAAGAGGAGTTAGAATTTTACTTTTTTCAGTTTTATTGAGACATAATGAAAAAATGAAATTCATATTTGCATACATATTTGAGTGAGGTTTTGTTATATAATGTGAAATGACCACCAATTAAAGTATCCAAATGCAACATGGCTATTTTCTTTACCCTTTCTGTAGTGAAAACAAATAAGATGTAGCCTTTTAGCAAATTCAAGTATAAGATGTTGTGTTGTTAACTATGGTTACCTAGTTATTCCTCAGCTCTTCAGAAATTATGTTGCATAAGTGAAGCTTCATTTCTTTTGCACATGATCTCTACATTTCTCTTACACTGCAGACTTTAAAAACAACTACGCTATTTTCTGCTACTGGGGATTGACCATTTATTTATTTATTTATTTATTTATTTATTTATTTATTTATTTTACCATTTTGTATTCCACCACTAAATGAGATAATGAATATTTGCCTTTTTCCATCTGGCTTATTTCATGAAGCATAACACCCTCAAGGTTTTTCCTTGTTGACATAAAAGATCAGATTCTCGGCCTATATTTGGATAAAAGTATTCCGTATTATATTTATTCACTCATCCATTGATAGACACTTAGGCTTTTCCCAAACCTTGTGTGTTGTGAATAATGGTGCAATAAATATAGAAATGCTCATATCTCGTTCAGGCCCTGATCTCATGTCCTTTGGATGTATACCTAGAAAGAGATTGCTGGATCATATCATGCTTCTCTTTTTAATATTTTAAGGAAACTATATAATATTTTCTGTAGTGTCTACACTAATTTATACTCCAACCAATAGATACAGACTTTTTTCTCAGTCCTCATCACTTGTTATGGTCTGCTTTTTGATAATATTGATATGAATAGGTGTCATTTTATGTCTCCTGTTGGTTTTATTTTGTATTTTCCTGAAGATTAGTGACAATGAACATCTTTTCATAAATCTACTGGGCATTTATATTCTTTCTTCAAAGAAATATATATTAGAGTTGCTTGCTCCTTTTCAGTTGGATTATTTTACTGGCTTTGCTATTGAGTTGTAGAAATTCTTTAAATATTTTAACATTAACCCCTTACCACATACATGGTTTGCAAAAATTTTTCTGCCATCCTATAGGAGCCTTTTCACATGATTGATTATTCTACTGGAATAATTTTAGGAACCGTTTTAGCTGAAAACTGTCCCACTTGTCTAATTTTTTCTTTGTTCCCTATCCTTTATCATGCTGTATCAAAACAAGTGACACCCTATTGTAATACCCATATAAAGAGGCATTTTCCCTTTGTTTCTTCTCATACTTCTATTGTTCAAGTATATTTTCCTTTCCATCACAAACATTGTACTTGTTGCCTATCATCTCCAATATATATATTTTCCTTATATATGATCTGTCAACCAGTAAATGTGCATAGAATGAAGACATGCTAATGTCCATCATTGAATACATAATGGAAACCTTGGCACAGTATTAGTGTTTCTACATGTTCACTCATTTCTTCTAATTTGCTGAAAGTAGAACTTTACAGTTTATAGTCTTCTTTTAATATGAAATTATTATAAAAATTATTATATTGGTCAGAGCTGTTATTTGCATTCATGTCTGTCTTCTTTGCATTGAAATGGTAAATGAAAGACTGATATAATGAATGTCTGAATGAAATTCTGAAGAGTAGACTCCTAAAGTCCTGTGATTTCTAGGGTGACCCTAAGAATGACTCCTGGATCTTTGCCCTGGCTGTGCTTCTGAGCAGCACCTTTGTGTACAATAACATGAACACCATCAACCACCAGGCCCTGGAGCAGCTGCAGTATCCTTCCAAGACCTGAGCTACCAGATGACATTAGGGGTTTGGGGGAAATAGTCTTGCATTATATTTTTTCTTCCTTATGGTTTACTTGATTTTGGTGGATCATGAGTGACCTAGACAAGTGACCTAGGGCAAAAGACAGTGTTTATGATCCTTTTAATAAAGGAAACCTAGGAGTCATTAGTAGGAATATTCTTTTCCTTAGCCAAGTCTAGATATGTGACAGAGCTCACACAACTAATCAGGGCAAAGTCCTCCTCAACTTCTAATGGAGTAAAAGATGCTACAGAGTTTGTGAGTTTCTTCCCCAGCTTCATCTGGACTGTACGGGATTTCACACTGGAGCTGAAGTTGGGAGGTCAACCCATCACAGCAGATCAGTACCTGGAGAATGCCTTGAAGCTGATTCCAGGTACCAGAGCAAAGTCTGGGTGGGGAGTTTCTGTAGGGTGGACGTGCTGACATTCTCCATCATTTCTAAGGTTCCATTTGTACTTGAAACTGGCTGGAGCCTTTTAGAAATGGTGAGTGCTATATAGGTGCAAAGCTCTAAAATACTGGCGTTTTAATTTATTTAAAAATGGTAGATCATAAAATACAGTGAAATTATTCAAAGCCAGGTGCTCATTTACAGAATTTGTATCTTAGCATCCAGATTCCAACAGCTGCTAAAAGCTTCACCAACCAGTCAGTTACTTTTCCTATTCTTTTTTAATTGTAAAGATAAAAGAACACAAACACATTAAGAAACAAATAGACATAAACAAACAGACATAAACAAACAATACCCAAACAACAGAAGCAATACAGAATTTTAGACAAGGTGATAGGAAAGTAACAATGGTTGTTGTATTACAAATTGATTACTTCGATAAACACATATAGGCATGTAAGATTGATCAAACACTTACACATTAAGTGTTCCTTTCAATAAAGCAGTAGAAGTCATTGGTACAACTCTCTTAGCTATCCTCTGTGTGTGTGTGTGTGTGCATATTTTTCCCTTCTTTCTTTTTCTGTTTGCCCTCATCCCAGTTGTTATTTCCTTGAGAGCAGTTTCTTTCATTTTCACAGTATCTATTATATCTTTCATATTTTTTTTTTACTCTTTTAGGTTCTTATACTACTGAGACAATACTATATTTATACATGCACTTCTGATTTATTTTGCTTATGAGTATGGTCTCTAGTTGCATCCATTTAGCTATGACAGCATCAAGTTCATCATTCTTTATAGCTGAGTGATATTCCATTATGCAAAAATACCACATCTTTTTTACCCATTCCTCAGTTTATGGGCATTTGGGTTGCTTCCATGATTTAACTATTACAAATTGAGCAGCTATAAACATAGGTGCACATATATCACTGTGGTATGATGTTTTTAGTTCTTCTGGAAAAATACACCAAAGGGTAATAGCTGAGTGAATGGGACCTTGGTTCTAGTTTACTGAGGAATCTCCAGACTGATCTCCACAGAGGTTTCACCCATCTACAATCCCACCAGCAGTTGGAGAAGCGTTCCTTTTTCCCCACAGCATTGCTGCATTTGTTATTGGTTGATTTCTTGGTGACAGCTATCCTTTCTGGGGTGAGATAGAATCTCAGTGTTGTTTCCATTTACATTTCTCAAATGACTAATGGTGTTGAACATTTTTTCATGTATTTATTTGCCTTTTGTATTGCTTTATCTGAGAAGTATGTATTCATCTCAGATGCCCATTTTTGGACTGGGTCTTTAAATCTTGGGGGGCTGATTTATTTTAGTTCTTTATATGTTCTAGATAGAAGTCCTTTGTCAAAGGGACAGTCAGATAAAATTTTTTCCCAATTTGTGGGTTTTCCTTTTACTCTGCGGGTGATTTCTTTAGATGTGCAAAAACTTTTCAATAAAATAAGAACCCAGTTGTTGATACTTTGAATTATTTCCCATGCAGTTTGTTTTCTGTTTATGAACTCTCTGCCTAAACTTATGTCTTCAAGATTTTAACCTACTTTCTCTTCCAGTAGATTTAGTGTTTCTGTTTTAGTATTAAGACCTTTCATCATTTTGACTTGAGTTTTGTGCATGGTGACAGACATGAGTCTAGGTTCAGTCTTTGACATGTGGTGAGCCATTTTTCCAGTATATTTATATTTATTTTTATTTTATTTATTAATTTTTTTTACTGGGAATCGAACTCAGGACTTTGCACTTGCCAGGCAGGCACTTGTGCCACGGAGGTATATCCCCAGCTCCAATATAATTGATTAAAGAGACTATTTTTTTTTTTAAATTTGGCTCCTTTTTCAAAAATAAGTTGGCTGAGTGTATTTCTGGCTGTGGCTACATCTTTCAGTCTAGTCCATTGATCTTCAGGTCTCTTTTCTGGCTAATATCATGTTGATTTTATCACAGTGGCCTTGTAGTATAATTTGAAGTCAGGGATTGTGTTGCCACCTGACTTTTCTTGTTACCCAGGATTGCTTTTGCTATTCTGTGTCTCTTCTGGCTCCAGATGAATTTTAGGAATGTTTTCTCGAGATCTATGAGGTATACTAATGTTATTTTAATTCAGATTGCATTAAATCTGCATGGCAATTTTGGGAGTAAGGCCATTTTCACAATGTTGGTTCTTCCAATCCATAAACAGGTAATATCTTTCCATTTTCTGAAAGATCTTCTTTGATCTCCTTTTTCAGAGTACTGTAGTTTTCATTGCAAAGAGCTTTTACTTCTTTTGTTAGATTGGTTCCTAAGCATTTCAATTTTTGGACACTATTGTGAAAGGTATAGTTTCCTTAATTTCTCTCTTAGGGTGTTTGTTGTTTGTATAGAGGAATGCTATTGATCTTTATGTGTTGACTTTGTATCCAGCTATGCTACTAGTTTGTTGATTAATTCTAGGAGTCTTCTTCTAGAAGAAGACTCCAAAGCTTCTAGTTTTTGGAGTCTTCCATGTACAGTATCATGTCACCTGCAAATAATGACAATTTCAATTTTTCCTTTCTTATCCTTATTCCTTTTATATTTCTCTGCTGTCTAATTGCTCTGGATCCTATTTCCAGAACTACATGAAATAGGAGTGGTGACAGTGGGCATCCTTGTCTTGTTCCTGATTTTAAAGAGAAAGCTTTCAGTTTCTGTCCATTTAGTATGATATTGTCTGTTGGTTTGTCATAGATGGCTTTGATCAGCTTGAGGTAAAGCTGATCTATTCTTATTTTCTGTAGGCTTTTTATCATGAATTAGTGTTGGACTTTGTCAAAAGCTTTTTCTGCAGCTATTGAGATGATCATGTGATTTTTTTCTTTGGCTCTGTTGATATGGTGTATTACATTGATTGCTTTGTGCATATTGAACCATCCCTGCATCCCTGGGATGAATCCTACTATGTCATGGTGTGTAATTTTGATGATTTGCTGAATTCTGCTTGCTAATATTTTATTGAGTATCTTTGCATCAGTGTTCACCAGGGAGATTGGCCTGTAGTTCACTTTTCTGCTTGGGTTTTTCTCTGATTTTCTATCAGTATAATACCTGTCTTCAGAAATGAGTTAGGGAGAACTGCTTCCTTTTCAACTGCATTGAAGAGTTTGAGAAGAATTTGAATTAAATCTTCTCTAAATTTCTTGCAGAATTCAGCTGTGAATCCATCAGGACTTGGGCTTGTCTTTGTTGGTAGGCTTTTAATCACATTTTCAATTTCAATAATTGATATTGGGTTATTCAGGAGTTTTACTTCTTGATTCAGCTTTGGTAATTCATAATTATCTAGGAATCTGTCCATTTCTTCTGTGTTTTCCATTCTATGGGAGTAAATATTTTCAAAGTAGGTATTGATGATCTTCTGAGTTTCTATAGGATCTGTAGTGATGTCACTCTTTTTATTCCTTACTGCATAAATTTGAAGTTTTTCTTGCCTTTTTTGATAAGGTTGGCTAGTGGTTTGTCAATTTTATTTATGCTTCAAAGAACCAACTCTTTGATCCATTAATTCTTTGTAGTGTTTTCTTTGTCTCAGTTGAATTAATTTCTTCCTTGATCTTGATAATTTACCCCCATCTTTGGGCTTTGGGCTTGACTTGTTCTTCTTTTTCTAAAAGTTTGAGGTGCAACATTAGGCTATTCACTTTTTGGTGGTGTTCTGTTTTCCTCATGTGTTAGTTCACTACTGTAAAATTCCCTCTGAAGACTGCTTTCAGTGCATTCTACAAATTCTGGTAATTTATATTTACATTTTCATTTATTTATAGATACTATTTAATTTCTTCTTTAATTTCATCTGTGACACATTTGTTGTTCAAGAGGATGTTATTTAATATCCATGTGAGTGTGGAGGTTTTGTGGTTCCTTTTCTCATTAATTTCCAATTTCATTGCACTATGGTCAGATAGCATGAGTGGGATAATTTCAATTCCTTTTCATTTACTTAAGCATGTTCTATGGGCTACTATTTGGTCTGTTTTAGAGAATGTCCCATGTGCAGCTAAGAAGAATGTGTATTCTGATGTTATGTAGTAGAACACTCTGTAAATGTCTACTAAGTCCATTTGTTCACAAGTTTTGTTCAGTTCTGTTATTTCTTTATTTTTTGTCCAGTTAACCTATCTCTTTGTGTCAATGGAATGTTAACATTCCCATTACAATACTGTTATTAGTGATGTGATTTTTCATGTCTATTAAAGTTTGTCTTATATAGTTGGGTACTGCAGCATTGGGTACATACATATTTATGATTGTTATCTCTTCCTCTGGATATTTTCCCACAGCAAGTATGTAGTTACCTGCTTTATCTCTTTTGATAGTTCTCAGTTTGACATTCACATTGTCTGCAAACAGAATAGCTACTCTTGCTTTTTTCTGGTCTCCTGTTGCATGGAGAATTGTTTTCCATCCTTTGATTTTCAGTCTATCGATTTCCTTTTGAGAAAAATGTGTCTCCTGTATACAGCATATTGCTGGATTTTGTTTCTTAATGCACTCTGCCAGTCTGTTTCCTTTGAGTGTGAATTGAGACCATTTACATTTATGGTTATAACTGATATATGTTGACTTATCATTGTTATGTTATTTACTTGCTGTTGGTTTCCTACATTTACTCTGTTTAATTGCTGGAACTGCTAGGTAGTTCCTTTCTGTTATTGTTCTTGAATTGTGGTCATTTTTATCTCTTCCTAGAATATATTTTAGTAGTCTTTCTTTGTAGCATTGGTATGGTGCTCATTAAGTTCTTCGTTTGTTCTTTGTCATGGAAGTATTTTATTTCTCCATTAAATCTGAAGGTCTTTTTTGCAGGATACCTTGGTTTGGGTTGGAAGTTGTTTCATTTTAGGGCCTGGAATGCTTCCCTGCAAGCTCCTCTTGATTTGGTGGCTTCTGTTGAGAAATCTGCCATGATTTAGATGGGTTTTCCTTTATAGGTGGTCTGTTTCTTTTCTTTTACAGCTTTTACTATTCTATCCTTTTGCTGCATTTCTGAGATCTTTATTATTATGTCTGGGTATAATTTTATTTTCGTTATGGATTGTTGGAGTTCTATATGCCTCAATTACCTGTATGTCAGATTCTTTTTCCATACTTGGGAAATTTTCTGCTATTACTTTTGCAAATAGTCTTATGTCATTTATGTTGACTCTTGCTGTTTCGTTAACACCTATTAGTCTTAGATTGTTTCTCTTTGCATCATCTTGCAGGTGTTGAATTGTTATTTCCTGGTTCCCTGCAATTTTTAAGAGGTCTTTCCTTTCATGATCATTAGCTGTAATGCTGTCTTCAAGATCCGAAAGTCTACCTCTGGTTTCATTCAAGCAGTTTTGCCTGCTTTTGATGGAAGTTTTGATTTTCTGAATTCTGTATGAGTCTCTTTTATGCATTCTAATTCTTTCTTATATTGTTCATTTAATGTTTCCAATACTTTTCTATGCTCATCTATTTTTTTGTATATGTCCTCTTTAGATGTGCTGAGCAATTCTTTCATTACTGTTGTGATTTCATTCTTTACTTGAGGGATTATTTTTGATCTGATTTCTCCTATGGCATTATGGAGTTGTTTCTTTACTTCAGTTGCAATCATTTCAGAAATTTCAGGTATGTGAGTTCCAAATTATCATACTTTGATGTCTCCTGGACTTGTTTTGGTTGGAGTGGAGTTCTGAGATTGCATTTTGGTCCTTCGTCTTGTCATGTTGGATGTTGGAGGTGAAATGTTGGGCTTCACCCTTCCTGGGCAGTTCACCGGAAAGTCTCTAGGGCCCCTAGATTTCCTCATTGTCAGAATTGTCCCACAGTGCCAGCAGGAGTTGTGCTACCAGGTCTGGGATTCTCAGATAGTTGTTGGAATGCATGGTTCTGAGGAGTGATGGAGTGCTGGTCTTTGGGACTAGGTTCCCAGGTGGCTGACTAAGGACACTCTGGTCTTTGGCTGATCCATAATGTCAGCACAATGTGGGTTCCCCGATCATGGTCTTCAGGCAGCTGATGGGGTGTACCTGTCTCTTCAGGGCCTTGGGCACAACCCATGATGTCAGTGAGTTTTGGAGCAACTGTATGAGTTCTCCAGGCAGATAACTGAGGGCCCAGGGCCTCAGGCATGACCCACAATGTCCATGGGGGCATGGGGCACATGTTCCAGTTCTCCAGGTGGCTGATTGATTATGCCCAGGACTCACAAGTGACCCACAATGACTGCAGAGCACAACACACCGGTCCAAGTTCCCTAAGCTGCTGGCTGCCGGTTCCCAGGACTAACAGGCAACCCATAATAACCACAGAGTGCAGAATGCCAGACAGAATTCCCTCAGTGGCTGGCTGATGGTGCCCAAGATTAACGCATGACCTACAATAACCATGGGGCACAGGATACCAGTCTGAGTTCCCCAGGGGCCTGGCTGATAGTGCCTAGGCCTATCTTTTATATATCTTATTTTGATGTCTGCTTCCTCTCCTTAGAACAAATGGCCTCAGGTTGTTAAACTTGAAATGGCAGTGCAGAGTCAATTCTCTATGCATGTGTGTGTGTTTCACACAGTTAGACATTATGCTTTCTGAGAATGAATAAAACTTCCTAACAGTGATATTTAACTTTCTCAAAGCAACCACACAAAAATCACTATATGTTCTAGGTAAATCAGAGGTAGCATTTGCATTTCCCTTTAGGACTGCTAAATTTTTGCTACAATCACCATACATTCATTGACTTTACATTGATAGCACACATTTCTTTTAACTGCAATACACTTATTCATGCTGTCATTTCAAAATAAATATTAGCATCTGACACATTATTTGTAAATTATTTACATAAGTGTCTATCCAATTATATTTTGTGAAATATGTCATTTCTGATTTACTCATTGTTGCTTTTAGTTTTTGAATGTTGCTTTCTCAAAGTGTTCATTGAAAAATTAACAAATAGAAAAAATTGTTAAATCAAACATCATATTTTATCACAAAGACTTTATGGAACAGTTGTGATTATTTTAAAATCCAATGTTTTGTAATATTTTAGAAAGTAAACTTTATGGTGTATATTTCAGGCATGAGGAGATGGGATACATGTAGATAGTACAGTGGTTACAGTCATGCAGCAGACAACACATCCATGAACTTACATGACTACTTTTTGTGATAAAAGAAGGTAAAGTTGACTCATTTGAGTAAAAGCCCTACACTAGTTTGTTGACCTCTTGCCTCATTTTGTACATTAGGTCTCTGGACTTGTAAGTCCCACAGATCTGTGACTTTGAGTCTTCTAGCCTACATCTCTTCATTTCCCCTTTACCCTTGACAGCCACTGTTTTATTGTCAATCTCTATATAGCTGGAATTTTTAAATGAAATATGTTTAGCATCAAAATGGATTTGCTTACATAATCATGATGACATACTTAATAGTCAAATATTTTTATTTTAACATCATTTCATTGTTTCCTGTAAGTATCTCTTCATTTTGGTCCTGCAATTCAATTTCAAGAAGGGACTGAGTAGCCTAGAAATGATCTCTTTTAAAAAAAGAGAATTTAAAAAAACATTAAACTTGAAGCAGAATTTCAAAACATAATAATAGGAAACTCACAATGATTAATATATGGCATAGTAATATCTTCAAAGTATTTGCTCATATCACTATACACAGGCATGTAAATTGATCAAAGAGTATAAGCACTAATTGTTCCTTTCAATGATGTAATAAAATTATTAGTGCAATTCTTTTAGCTATTGTGTGTGTGTATATATATATATATATATATATTCTTTCTATCCTTCTTTTCTTCTTTCCCCCATCCCTGTTGTTCTTTCCTTTTGAGGAGTTTCTTTCCCTTTCACAATATCAATTGTACCTTTTGGACTTTATTTCCTCTTTCAGTTTCTTACATCAGGGAGACAATATGATGTTTACAGATGTGAGTCTAGTTTATTTCACTGATGAGTATGGTCTCTAGTTGCATCCATTTACCTATGAAAGCCTCAATTTGTAATAGCTAAATCTTGAAAACAACCCAAATACCCATCAACTGAGGAATGGATACAAAAGATGTGGTATTTTGATACAATGGAGTGTTACTCAGCTACATTTGATCTTTCACTCATTCAGTAAACATCAAATAAACTACTGCTCTACAGTTGGTGATCTATTCAGGTCTGGGGAGATCAGTCAATACTTTTTTCCCTGAAATCATATATATATCTCAAAATATCTGGTGTGATACTTTATTAATGGAGTAATTAATTTACTTATTGCTGGGAACTGAACTCAGGGCCTAACACCTACAAGGGAGGTGTGTGTCACTGAGCTGTACCTCTGGCCCTCTGTTGTTATATAATTGGTACAAGTTTGATGTACAAAAATACTGAATATTTACATTAAAGGTATTCTGTGAGTGTAGAACATACAAAGGTACAACAATTTCTATGAAAAAAACCTTTTATCTCTCAGTCTCAAGACCATCTTATTGCACTCTTTTTGTCCATTCCTTAGGTGACAATCCCAGAGCACAAATCTCCAATCTTCCCAGGGAGTGCATCAGGAATTTTTTTCCACATCGCAAGTGTTTTGTCTTTGATCGGCCAACAAATGACAAACATGACCTACACAATATTGAGAATATCTCAGAAGACCAACTGGATCCTAAATTTCAAGAACAAACACATAGTTTCTGTTCTTATATCTTCAATAATGCAAACATCAAAACCCTCAAAGAAGGAATTGTGGTCACTGGGAATCGTGAGTCTTATTTAACTATGTTTGAATGTATTATAAAATTAACATACATTATTTTAATTTAATTATGTCACCACAGTATACATATATTTATACTCTATAACAAAGTGTGCATAATTTATAATGATCTCACTTGCTGGGGTTTACAGGTTCCTTCCTCTTCAAAATTATATGCTTTTTTGCAAGCGTGTATAGTTTCTACATATTTGAAAAAAAATCTTCCATTTGTAATGAAATTACTGTGTGTGAAAATAGATATAGATTATTTGATCACAGAAAACTCTACATTAGTATTCTTCTTTGCAATAAGAATAGGAAATTTTCTAAAAGTTTAAAGCAGCCTAAATATAAATATTAGCCTATAAGATCCCTGAAGATCCCTTGGAAGCTTCAGAAGTAGGAGCAAATATACTCTGAGGTAACTTACCTTATTGGTCACTTATGTAATCTATTTTTCTTTCCATTTTGGGGGGTTTTGGTTTCTGTCTGTGGTATCTCTTTATTTATTTATTTATTCTATTAATTAAGTATATTAGTACATCTTAGGTGTACATAAAGATCACATTCATCATAAGGAATTTATTCTTGTACATGATATATCTTCATTCTTTTTTCCTGTTCCCCATACACTCCCTTCAACACCTCTTCCTCTACTTACAAAAGTTTGTTTCCATTTTTCCTTCTTTTCTTTTTTGGGTATAAATTTCTAATTTTGAAATTTTGTTTTTGAGGTACAGTGTAATATATTAGACAAACCTGGATATTAAACATTTCTTAAAAATCTTTCAGTTGGAGAACAAGAGAAATGTGAGGTTAAGTGGAGTGAGGATGAGAACAGAAGGTGTGTACAGGTGGGAGAGAGAGACAGAGACAGAAAAAAAACCATACTGATTTTAGGAATATAGTCTAATACTCTTAGAACCCATTGAAGTATATCATTCTTATTTATCCCTAAAATTCCTGGATCATTCAGGGCTGGGGGCTCTGGTGGAGACCTATATGAAAGCCATCAGCAGTGGGGCGGTACCCTGCTTGGAGAACGCGGTGACCACTCTGGCCCAGCGTGAGAATGCAGCAGCTGTGCAGAAGGCTGTCAACCACTACAGAGAGCAGATGGCCCAGCGAGTGCAACTCCCCACAGACACGCTCCAGGAGCTGCTGGATGTACACACAGCCTGTGAGAAAGAGGCCATTGCTGTCTTCATGGAGGGGTCCTTCAAGGATGAAGATGGGAAATTCCAGAAGCAGATGGTGGTACTGAATCCTATTTTTTCTTCTGCTTTTACAATCACATGTTTGCTGTACACAGTGATTACATTCCGTGTGATTTTGCTCCTGTGTCTTATTCAGCACTTTCCTTAAACTTTCCATTGAAGAGTGAAGCCCAGAGCTGAGTGCATGAAACTCATGATTCACCTTTCATCCAAGGACAAAACATTTTGGATTCTCATTGGGAATGGAGTCTCTAAAACTACACATTCTTCCTCCAACATCAAATCTCAGGCATATTATACAGCAGTTTTTCTGGGTGACTGAAGTATAATCAGTACAGGTGTGTTCCTCAATACTGATGGTGGACTGCAGACTTACCCAGAGCATACTCAAATTATTCCCAAGGTCTTTGCTTTTTTAATTCACACTCACCTATTTCTAGCAACTAAATTTCTCTTACCAAGCCCTAATTCTACACTGCTCTTTGCTGTATCCATCCCATATTGCTCTTTGCTGTATATTGTATCCTTCAAGATAGAACTATGGACACAATACCATAGAAGGGGGGACAAGGGAAGTAAAAAGATTTAAGATGTGTCCTGTACATGGATCAAATACCTACAGTTTATGTGAACATTATATGTCATAAACATGACCTGAAAACAATAATGATGAAAACTGGGAAAAGGGATCTATAGCCAGAGAGGGATGTGAGTCTGGAGGGGAGTAAAAAAATCCAAGGTGTGTTATGTACCTGGACTTACTCTCTAAGGCGAATGTAAACTTCATGCACTGCAAACATGTGCTAGTAAAATAGAATTAAAAAAGAAACCATAGAGATGGTAGCACATGGTCCCTTTATTTCACAGATGAGGACCTTGAGGCCCAAAAAGGTTCAGAAGTTTCTCATTGACTTCCAGAGAGTTTTTTTTTTTTTCTTTTTGGTTTTTCTCCGGTACCAGGAACCGAACTCATGACCTTGCGCTTGCCGGGCAGGCACTTTTGCCGCTGAGCTAAATCCCCAGCCACCCCACCCCCCAGTTTTAAGGGTTTTCAGTAAGTCAAGTTTATGAATCCTCATTCATCCACATCTTACTTCAACAGAATATTTTCTTATGAGGAACAGGTTGATGCTCCTGCAAGGTTTTCTTAAATTTTACTTCTCTCTGAGAGATCCTTCTGGTGATATCTCTGTACATATGTCTTGCAGAAAACAATACAGGAAATGAAGGAGGATTTCTTGCTGAAGAATGAAGAGAAATCTGATCAATACTGCCAGGAAAAACTGAATTTGCTTTCAAAAGACTTGAAGCAAAGCGTATCAGCAGGCAGTTTCTGTGTTTCTGGAGGGCACCAGCTATACATGGAGATGAGGAAAAAGATAGAAGAGGGCTATTTCCAAGTGCCTAGGAAAGGAGTCAAGGTGAGCAGCAGTTTAGCCTGGGAAAGTCTAGAGAATAACTGTCAAAGGGTTTCCAGAACTAGCTGTGAGCAACAAGAAAACAGATTAGCATGAAATATTTTCATTCTTTCCCCCATGGTTGGGATCAAATCTAGAGCTCCTTGTATGTGCTCCATAAGTGGGCTGTACCCCAGAAATCACCTTAGTCTTTCATGCTGCGTATCTGCTACATATTCCTGAAAATAGAAATTTTCATTCCCAAAGAAGTAGTAAGGATTTCAAAAAATCAGAAGGGACAGAAAAAAATTATCCATTTCTTCATCAAACAAGATGACTTGCAATGTACTAAGTGCTGGTGATTTACAAGGTTCACTCAGTCTTCACTCTCCAAGCTGATGATTTGCATATTGAGTGACATTACTTATCAACCTATGAGAATGTGCTACATAGTTCGTGTTAACGAACATAATGAAATGTTACTGCTTATGGACTTAATGATAAACACTTTCCTAGACATTTTAATCTACCTTGAAGTGATATCCCCTTCTATTGTGAACATTTTACTCTTGAACTGAGAGGTCCTGGCACATGTACAAATTTTTCCTAAAGATAAAGGTAATAGGAAGAAGAGAGAGGTACAGTTTATATCATTGGAAGCAAAATACAGAAAAGCACTAGAGGCTGTAATTTGCACAACTGCACATCATCTGACTGGCCAGAACCTGGGAAGAACAAGAAGGCATCCTGGGAGAAGGATACAGGAAGGGAGATGAGAAGCAAGAGACACAGAGTATCTCTGGTGACACTGAGGAGCTCGATCCCTTTGTAGAGAGCCACTAGAAATTTAACCACAAAGCAGAATGATGTGCATATATTTATTTTGCAGAACCATTCTCCCAGTGGTAAGTTATTTGCTTTCTTGGTTTCACAGGCAGGAGAAGTGCTGCAAAGTTTCCTGCAGTCACAGGCAGCAATAGAGAAAATCATCCTGCAGTCAGATAAAGCTCTCACTGACAGGGAGAAGACCATGGCAGGTAAATATACAAGACAAAACCCCAAGTGTGCATAGATTCCCACAATGATGCTGAGAGACCCAACAAGAATCCTTCCTCAATGTGTAACATATTTCTTTTTTTTTTTTTTTTTTT